TGTATACAACACACTAGTGCTTGACAACAGTAGCCCGATACACACTACAACTACACTACATTTCGTCCAATGAAAATTAACAATAAAATAAACAAAGGGGAATGACTCCTGCATCAATATTGAATAAACACGCAAATGATGTCATGGACACGCACGGAGCTCAACAACAGCCTGCCGATGATAGTATTGATAGTTCCCATCGAATATCGCTCACAAATTTTTCTTGAAATAACTTTCTTCCTTTAATCATAACTGACGTATATTTATTGTCACATTTATGTATTTCATTTAAAAAACGCGTGTATTCCAGAATGTTTTGAAAGGTAAAATTTTTAAGTAACATGATATTGGGGAAGCACTGATGAAGTATCTTTTGTTGTGTGTAGCAGCCTAGTGATGGCTTACTCTCATCACGTGACCAAACAAGGAAGTGACTAAGCGACTCCCATTAAAAAGAAAGGGCTTAAATTGTTTTAAAAAATTAAAAAAATGTATCCTTTTTTTATTTCATAGTCTGCTAGAAATTATTTCTTGTTTCACAAGATGACTTACTTTACTCCAGTAGAATGTTATTTCAGACTCAACACTTGCTACAACTACAACCCCATTCTAAGGTGACAAAGTACAAATACTTTGCCCATCATTTCAAACTACAAGAACTACTTAAACATCAAGTTTTTGTTTTTTATTCATTTTTTGATAGTGAAATGTGTATTATATTTATAAGCGCAACAAAATATGCTTTTTATTCCTCATTTGCAGATGGTAAGAATAGACATTGTCTTCATAATATTTATAATGCATTATCTTGGAGATGTCTGAAATGGAGATTCTTGTATATTAAAAGCTGTTTTTCTGAGCTTATCCCATTATTTATTTCTTGTATGTCAAGGTCATACTGTATCCAGTTAATTATATATGTTTCTTTAGAAAGGTAAACAAAAAAATATATAAAAACTGCTAGCGCAGGGTATAAAGGAAAGCTTCCTTTTTTACTTTAACAGTAATAACAGTACATATAACATTTTTATGAAGTAAAAGTTAAATCAATACTTATTATATGGGGTAGTCTACATTTTTTTCATTTTTTTTTTACTTCAGCACACATTATTTCCATCCTTGTTCCTGGAAAATAATAACTTAAACAAGGTGCATGGAATAATTTTATTTGAAAAAATTTCACTGGGAATAAATAATGCTTGTGAAATAATGATGTCAAAACTATTGTATAAAAGTTTCTATATCACATGACAAAGATAACATATTTTGTTCACACACAGTAACTCACAGGTATTGTCATCTTTTATATATTTCTAAGGACTTTTTTAAAATCTGATTATTATTTAAACCTTTAGGATTTTTTTTTTTTAAATTATCCGTAGATGCTTTGAGATAAGATTTTCATATAAAACAACCTGTTTCATGAATTTTTACATTACACAAAGAAAGAAAGAACCAGATTGTATATTTGTGTTAGAAAGTAAGAAAGAAATGTGCAAAGATTTTTTTTCTGGTAAGATTCATGTGAAAAAGAAGTGGCTGCCAGTTAAATTTAATTATTTGACTTGTTTAATATGATGATAAAATAAAATGATGGGTAAAATGAATCAGCTATACTGTTTTCTTTTGGATTGAGAATTAAGAATGAATATAATAAGAATGTAAATGCAACTTAATTACAATTTTAGAATATTTTCAGCTACCTTTTATACTGTTGTTTGTCAGTGGGGAGTCAACCATGACCACTTAAATCATCAGATTTGTGCTAGTTCTGTCTGTGGGTGTGCAGATGGCTAATGAGGCCGATTCTGGCACGAAATTTTCTTGTGCAGTAGAATGATGGGGCATCTCCAGGAGCAGAGTCAGACCAGGGCCTACCTGGCCTGTCTCTCGCACTCTGCAACTGCTGTTCTGCCAAATTCATGTTGCATGGAACTCCTGTGTAAATTTGAACGCCATGATGTTCAATGCTTTGCTTTTTCCTCCCATGTCTGGGTTTATGTCAAACGCTTTCAGTGAGGCTTTTATGTTGTCTTTAAAACGTTTCTTCTGCCCGTCAGCAGACCGCTTTCCTTGTTCAAGCTCACCATAGAAAATTCTTTTGGGCAGACGGTCGTCTGACATTCTCACATGTCCTGGGACTTCATTAAGATGGTAAAGATGTTGGGGAGACCTACCTGTGTGAGCGCCTCAGTGTCTGGGACCCTGTCCTGTCATTTAATGTTGAGGATTTTTCTGAGTCTTGTATGAAAGTGGTTCAGCATTCTCGCATGGCGTTGATTTACCATCCACGTTTCAGAGGCATAGAGAAGTGTAGGGAGAACAGCGGCCTGATTTTACTATTAGTTAAGTAACAACCCATGTGAATTATTTCATCATGAGTGCTTGATTCTCAATACTTTCCACGGATTGTATTATTGTGTATTCCCTATTTCAGAGGATATTTATAAACAATGTTTTTAAATTCTTTTTTTATAACTTTGCTTTCCTCTTTTCTTAAAATTAGTAAAATATTAAGATTTAAAATTGTGAAATAGCTAATTGTAATGTGTCTTACAGCAAGTGCTCGACCCTGTTATGAAATTTGAAATTCAGGATGTGAACAATGTGAATCATGGAGCTAGCGGATAATAATGTTACTGTGGAAATAAATGTGCCAATACAATTCGCGATTTTGTATGATTTGGAAACAGTCAAAAGAACAAGCAAAAAGATAACTGTCAAAGTCCATTTAAATTTAATGACAAAGTTAGAAGGCATATTTGTGTTCAAAGGCAAGGAAATGAAATATTTCTTACTGGCCTATGATAGGGATTAATATGTAAGTTTAATGACCACACTTACAAACATTACAAGTATCAGTTTTGGAAAAAAGTTTGATAACATTAATTAAACAAGGGGAGAGGTGAATTTGATTGAGAGTGTATGAAAACATATGTTTAAGTATAAAAGATATAATTAACTTATTAAAAAATTGTCAGTGTGTCCAACTAAAATCTAAAGTTCATACATGCCCCCCCCCCCCCGCGTTTGTATTAAATTAAGTCAAAATACAAAATTCTAGCACAAAAGACTTAAAAAGGAAATAAAACCTACTTATTTTAGATATGCTTGTTAAAAAATTTTAAAAGTAAAGGCAGAAAGTCTATTCCCACAACAACAAAAAATATAATAATATTAGTATTTATTATTACTATAAGCTCTGGCTTCCAAATGAAATATTGCACTATAAATTAATAAAAACATTGGCATCTGGTCTCTTATACTTTTATCTAAATGTACATTAAAAAAAGGACATGCTCACAAAAAAACATCCATTTTTACAATCAAAGTTGAAGAGAAATCAGTCAATTGAAACAGTTTTGGGGAGAGAAAAATAAATAAATATGATTAGAGGACAGGCAGTTTAAGAAATGAGCATTATTTTCTGTCATAGCCTTCAACTTTAAATATTTGCAAGTGGAACAAACAACCATGTAAATTTGTGATTATTGCAATGCAATGCTGTTTTAAAGTGCTTAAAACTGTAATAATAAGTGCTCTCAGAAATAAAAATATATTATTTTATAAATTAAGTTAAGCCATAGCTTAAATAGATCTCATGTAACATAAATATTAGTATGCATTTAATAGTTTATTGGCTAACCAATAACATAGTTAACAACGGAAAGGATTAATGATTTATCACAAATGAACACAATCTTCAACAATTTGCAAAATCTTTTTTGCTTAAAATTATATTTTTAAAATGTTAATATTTCTGTCTTTTGAAAAGACTTGCTCATTAGGTGCCTAATTATTGTAACCATACTGACAAATGAGATGAGTTAAAGCTCAAAAAATTTTTTTAAAGGGACAAAAAACATGGATATTCTGTTTAATATTAAAAATATGTTAATTCAAAACATCATTGGACCAAATATATATGCTCTAGGCATAAAAAAAATGCTAATTTACCATACTCAAGATTTACAAACTTAACAATTTTTTTTACAACTTCTACTTAAAACAAAATACTCCTACCATCCCATTCTATGAGAAATAAAAGATGTTTTCAAGAGCACCATTTTCAAGCACATCACAAAGAACAGCAATGGTTCAATAGAAAAGTTTATTTTAAATAATATACAAATATTTATCCAGAGTATTTAAATTACATATATAAATATGTAACAGTACTTAAAACAAAAACATATTTAGTTAAAATGTAGACAAATTTAAATTGATTTCAACATTGTAATCTGGGACCTAACATCTTTTGCTTTCTTATTTGTACTGTGATGTTTTCATAAGTCTTTTTTCTCAAATAAATAAACTGACACAACCCAACTTTGACTGGACATAGGAGGCATTGTTTAAAGCAAACAATGTTGATCATGAAAAACTCAGGCTCTTCAGTAGCGTATAAGCTACATACGTTGGGCACTGAGTGTGAATTCAGTGTTGTCAGTTAAATAGACAGCAACTTTAAGAATGTACATGTTCGAGATTGTGACCTAGTTCATAGAAGTACACACAATCATTTTGGAATGATTCCTATGCTACAAAGTAATATACATATATCTGGTACATATAAAGATGATTACACATTATTTCCCATTAATAAACACATTTCCCTTGGAAATAATAAATTTCTAAAAATGAATGAACTTTATCTTTTCTTTTGAGTTACTTTTTATAAATTGTACATTCACTGGCATAGAGATATGAAAATAACTCTCTAACAATATGATTATGTGTATTTCCAAACAGGATACCAAGCTGTTCAAACTTTGTGTTGATATCATTTGTATCAAACTTAAGTATACATAAATATTAATTATGAAAAACTTTTTTTTTCTTTTTTACAATTTCTATACAATAATGCAGAGAGCAAAAATAACACAGCCTTGTTACAGAAAATAACTTGTAGTGTAACAAACCTCAGCCCCCAAATTTTAAAGAAGTTCTACTCCCATTCTATCTTGTGTGTGTCGAGCATTATTTTTTTCTTTACAGGCGTGGCTGAGCGAACTCGCTCATTGTCTCGTGGTCACCTGTAAGGTCACATCTGAGTTGTGTCAACACAACATCTGCTTTTTTTTCTTTGAACGGCGAAAGAAAAAAAAGGGGGGAGGGTAGATCATAGTAGAGCTGTAGTATAACAGGATTTAAAAAAGAAGTGAATATTACCTCTTTTGTCAATAAACTACACAAATTAAAATTTTAATACTTAAAAGTAGCACCAAAAAAGTTACAAAAACTTTTTAAAAAGACTTTCTATCAAAGACGAGTTTAAACCACTAAAAATTGTGAATAATTTTAAATTTATTAAAATGCATTATGCAAAGAAAGTCTGGTGCAGAAAATATTTTAAAAAATCATTTTAAAAAACCATTTAAGTTATGTCTACATTCAATTCAAATCCTTTAAACTCCTGCACAGTGTTACCTCTGTGGAATGGGTTTTAAGAAATGTTTAATACTTTTCTACTTGTTAGTGGTTTAAAGTTGTCTTTGATAGAAAGTCTTTTTTTTTTTTAAACTTTTATTTTTGATTCTGCAACAAGGTAAGATGTTAATGTATTTTTTTTTATGTCATCCTACAAGATGGACAACAGTAGTGGTGCAGTTTTATATTAGAACAAAAAACAATGGCATCCAATTACTGATTGGAAACTAATTAGTAACGGTAATAAAGATTGGAAAGGTTCGCTTTTTGGAAACATGAATACAGTTCTGTGAATTTCCAATTATATTAGTAACCCATTTGAAGCTTAGTTTGTAAAAGTTTAAAACTTAAATAAAATAATTAAATATTGCTTCATTCTTATTTCACTGACATATCCTTTCTTTTCAATTAAACCCCTTTCTCAATAGAATACCATTAAAAAGAATGGATGAAGAATTGCTTGCTAATTCAGATGTTAAAAAAATGTAAATCAATCATACAAGTGAATTAGAAGTCCATTTTATTAAAAAAAATTTTTTTAAAACTTTTATAAAAAGGTACAGAAAGCTCAAATTCATTAGATAGTTCAAAAGAAAAAAGAGATGAGACTCAACTCCAGATATATCAATCAATAATATGTTCCATAACATCAGGATGTGTTGATGCCCCAGTTATAGTCAGTGTATTTTAGAGTGACAGAGCCCACCATTTCCAGTTTGAAAATGAGGATACTACACCTATCATGCTCTGATTGACTCAGGTAAGGCAGGATCCACCTGGAAATAACAAGTTTTATTTTAATGGATGTCTAATGCTGGTTTTAACATCAGTATTTTTTTTTTTGTTACTAGGAGGATTTAACAGCAATAAACTGATCAGTTCATTCAGTAAAAAATAATGTTTTCTTTAATGTCAAAATAATTATAAAGAATTTTTGTTGATACATTTCACTAACTGGGTCATATCTATTATTGGGTGATTCCTAGGTAAATTTAATGACTTAATTTTTAATTGCAACATACTTGAGAACATCCACATCAGTTTCCCCAAAGTCATTTCTATACCACTGGAACAGCTTGGAAATATAGATTTCATCTTTTTCATTCTTGGTCACCACTTCCTGGCTACAAAAACTCTTTGTAGCCTTGTCCAGTGCAGAGTCAATATTTTCTACACTATAGACACTTATGGCAGGACAGGACTGAAAAAATAATAATCTCATGGGTTTGGTACATCATGGCAATACCAACGTGTAATCATAGATCGAGTACCCGGTACATTCATGTCAAAAAGATACCATTCTAAAGACATTGAAAGGGTACAATCATTGATTGAGTAGATTTATGTCATGAAGATCCCATTGTACAGTTATTGATTGAGAGAAATTAACTATCTGCATTGTGTACCAAAAATATGCAATCATAGGATTATAGAAGGTAATTAAATGTAAGCTTAGCAAACATCTGAATTTTATTATCCAATGTCTTCCCCCTTTATAATGTTAAATACAAGAATATTTAGATGTTATTACTGTAAGGTTATGTTTTATTTAAAATGATTTCAAAAAATTTACTACAAAATTTATTATAGGTGACACAGAATATTGCTACAATACCTTGGCTCCACACACAAGAGCAAAGTGTATGCGTGGATCTAATGTCTTGCAGATATACTTTAATTTTGGATCATTTGGTGGCAACTGGGGTTTGGTAGTTGCTGGATGGGACCTATTACCTTGATGGATATATAGTTAGAAATCAATCAAGGTTTCTTCTTGTGTGATTTAATAAAATTCTTTTTGAGCTCACTAAAAATAATAATCATCTCTTCTTAAAATGATGCTTGATATCTCCAAAAAGTCATGTTCTACTCAATCTGTTTAGCATGTTCCAGTAATTTACGATTGTTATTTTGGGAAATTTTCACTCAACCTTATCAACATTTTGTGGTTATTTTAATAAGTAAAATTGAATTTTTAAAAATATTTTTTTCATCCATCCAATAAATATTATAATACTCCTATTCATGATTTAACCACCAACACCAACACCTCCACACCAAACATGATAACCCAGTAAAGCATTCAAAATTCAAAACAATATGCCACACTGATTATGTTAAAAGAGCCCCTTTACACCAGCCAACTAGACTGAAGTTTCTGTTTATTGTATACATAAAATGTATATATATATTATTTATATATATATATATAATATAAGGATAAACTTATGAATGTTAGTTTATTCTGTCGGTTTTTTTGTGATGGGGTTAAAGTTAATACTGTTTAAAAGTTTTGTTACATGTGATATTTTTAGTTTGTAGTAACTTGTAATATCCAAAGAAATATAACTGGTTGTACCTACTTTCTAGTTTAAGAGTTCTGCAGAAGAAATGCTGCTTGGAGCACGTTTGGCTTAAGATTAGTACTTACATCTGAGAATGCCATGCTCAATATCATCTAGAGTAAAAACAAGTCCTGCAATATTGTAGGCTGTGGTCTTGAAGAAATGTTGAACTTTTAACACAGATTCAGGTAGCTTTGGCTGCTCCATAAGTCCATGTATTGTTAAAGAGTTATAAATATCAAATATCTGTCAAGGAAGTTTCTATAAAGTCAATCCCTAGAGACATCAGCATGAAATTCCAACTCATTTGATTTGGACATAAATCTTACATTTATTCATAATAAAACACTACTATGCATTATCACATTACAAAGGTTTTACATATTTGACACCTTTTAGGAAAAGGATACTTATAAAAAAAACTTTTTTTTCAACTTCATTAAACTTTGCTAGGTCGATTCTCTGAAGATCTATTGCATCTCTTTTGTATTCCGAAAACTCTGTACTGGCTCTCATTTTTACATAATCAACAGCTTTTCCATCACTGCTAATAAACTTCCCCTTCAGACTGAAAGAGAAAAAAAGTCAATGGGCTAAACTAGATACTGGTACGTGAGATATAAAAAAAAAATTTAATATAAAAGTAATACAGTTTTAAAGAGCAAACTTTAAATTAAAAATAAAACTAACATCAACTTTCTAGGTTAAGTTTTAAGTAGTTGTTGAGCTATGAATTTTCAAATTATGAATTTTGTTTGTCCTTTTTTAATATGGCACACATGATAAACATGTGTTTGATTGTATCAATGAGTGTCAACCAATCAGATGAAAAATTGTGTGCAAACTCAGTCTGGACAGCATGGGGGTTAGTTTGTGTTGGGCTTGAATTCATTTATCACTATCTCTGTACCAGGTAGTGTAAAATTTTTAAATAACCGGCAATCAACACCTGATCGAAGTATTACACAGTATGTGTGTGAAAAGCGTGGGATCAAAGGCTGAAGCGATAGGAACTATTTTTACTTGTTGCTTCAGACACATTGAGAAGGTGACCTTCCAATTTTTAATTGTGCAATTGTGCTGTGTTATTTGACTTCTTGTTATTTACCCAACATTGTCTCTTTTGTTTCAAAAAATTTATATCATCTTAACATGATTTTTATCATCTCTGAGGCATCTTGGAGGTGTGGCGGCACACCTAGCATAGTCTCGTTGCATAGTGTGAAAATATGAACAAATCATTAAAATTTAACTGTGGTGGCCCTTTTCCTGGCCTAATTTCATCCAGTACATTACTTTCCTGGTGAAGATAGCAATTTTATAGTACCCTCTAGATATGGGGCAAGAAGTGTCAACGACCTGCAGCCTCTCCCTTCCCTCAAATAAAAATAGTGTGCTACAATTACACACTGTAGTTAGAAAAGTGTAAAAATGAAGAAAAACAATACAACATTTTTTATATATTTAAAATAATGAAAACCAAAATTACAATTTCATAGAATACACTTTTACACACTTTATTGCAGGTTCCACCAAAAATAAAATCCAAAGGTTGTCAGAAAAATCAATTGTCAATGTCAATTGACTTACAATTCAATACAATCCATTTTCCAAAATGCCAGAAAATTTATATTTTATATATTGTCATTGCAATTAACCACCAAATGAAATTATCATTTTTAACAGTCCATGTGGTATCAATATTAGAAAAAGATAAGTTAACTCTAGTTATTAGTAACAATCCAAGAATAAGCGAAAGGGAGAAACTCCTACGAAAGGGAGAAACTCCTACGCTTACACTGTCCTGTGCAGTGCAACTCAGCAACTCTAACTCAAAGACTGTAAAAGTGGCAGTCAAATTAACATAAGCCTAATTTTTTTTAATAACTGAAGCTCAAGTGGAAAATTACCTTTTAAAGGCTTAGTTAGGGTTATCATAGTAATAGGACTTAATTTTCTTTGGACATTTAGAAACTTAAAAAGGAAACATAATTATTAATTATATTTTATTTGTATTATTTATTGTAGTAGTAGTATAGTAATTTACTATAATTATAGTCATAGTCTATAGTCTAGTCTATAGTCTATAGACTATAGACTATAACTTATAATATAACTTATAACATAGACTATACTATAGTCTATAGTTAGTCATATTGATATAACTATAACCAATATCATAATCAAAAGGGTAATTGAAAAAAAAAAGTTTAAATTGTTATACCTCAGCAAAGACTTCCGTAATCTTTCTGATAACTCAATGCCTGGTATTGGTTTTGTGTTCACTACTGAGCCCGAGTTAATTACTCTAACTTTCTTGTCTTCCTCCATTTTAATGTTTAATGTTTATAGTTTATCCTTTTCAATTAGAGCTATGCAGTTTTTATTTTTGAAGATTTATCTTTAAAAATATAAAAAAGTAAAACTACTGTTTAAAACTCTATGTTCTATTTGGTTATTTCATTGGAAAAATATATAAACATTATAATCAAGTTGTTCGAAACTCTCAAAGCTTCTAGTTATCATCAATTATATTCCATTTCAAACCGAAAGTAGAAAGAGAGATAATTATGCCTGGTGACAGATGTTGATTGTTAATGTTAAAAACCGAAGACGAAGTGACCGAAAATAAATGTTTCCTCTCAGTTCAGTGTTTGGTCAAACACATTATTTGTATAAAATATAGACGTACATGCCTAAGTATAATGATAAAATCATTACTTCTGTAGTAATAAGAAGTAGCGCCTATTGCATTTATCATTATCATTTTTGTAATAATTATAATTATAAATAAATGTCACATATCCATGGTCCATAGTGACATACTCATACTCGTCCAGTGCACTCAGACTGATGTACTATGCACTGAACAATCGAATGTGTGGTTGCTGTATCATTGAATCATGATAACGATAGTGTATAGGCCTAATCATAATTACGACAAGTGATGTGATTCCCAAACTGAAATCACATAAATCATGATAAATTACACAAATTATCATTAATAATATAGTAATAGTATATAGTATAATTATATAGCATTATAGTGATAGCATATTATTATATTATTTAATCTCAAATAGTCAATATACAGGACAAGTTAATGTCTACAAAAGTGAGATTGAAACTGAAAAATTTCAAAGGGACCAGGTGGCCAAAGCTTCAGTTAAGGGGCTATCCATAAATGATATCAAACGTCTAGGGGGTCATATTTTTGTGATTAGTGGGGAAAGGGGGGGGGGTTAAGCAATTTGAAGTCACATTCAATATTATTCAAGGCTGAGCATTCTCGAAATAAAAATTAGACTTACTTAATGACACTAAATTACAGAGATTTTTAAACTACAATCACTATGAGAATCAGTACAGGTATGCAAAGTCCGATATGAGTTCTGATCGCGTAAGATATCAAGCTTCCATGGAAGAGGAGATTTAAGGTGTTTATGTCGAAATTTGGAGACAGGAGTTATAGAATTAGGGTTACCACATTAAGTGAGATGGAACCAAACATGGTTGATGAGGGAGGAGTGTGACCTTAATAAATATTCTAGGGCAGGGGTTCTTAACCTATTTGCATCTTCAATGATCTTGCAATTGCATCCCCTCTCAATTCCAAAATACCACCATCACCAAAACACCCCCCCTCTCCCAACCCTATCTAATTTTTTTTTGTTTAAAGACATGAACAACTAGCAATGTCCCTAAGCCTACTTTTACTCATATATAATATATGGTAATAATAAATTTAAATATTATATTAGCCGAGTAGAAAAAAAGCGTATTTTTGCAGCTTTGAGAAAAATTAGTATAGGCCTATCGTAAATGAATTGTCAAAATTAGCCTAATATTTCTCTCTAATTACCTCCAAAGTTTGATGGATCTGGCAATCACAAACAATAAAATAATTTATTAATTATACAAATAAAACTATTCATCAATCATTAATAATAAATAATTGATTATTAACAGGGCTCTTTTTTCTGAGGGAAACTACCACCTCCTAACACTCTCACTACTAAAATACTATAGTAATTAATTTATAAATAAAGAAATTAAATAAGTTGTGCCTTAGTTCCAGGAGTTATCAATGTTAGTAATGTTATGTTAGCATACTATTTAAAACTCCCCATTCAATACATAACATGATTCTTTTTTATAATAGTTAATTTTACCTTGAACTTTTTATTTGTAAAATTTTTTGCTTAATGAAATAAAATGTCCATACTCTTTTTTTTTTTTGTCAGCTGAGTAATTACAATGGCAGATCAAGAAAGAAATTTTCGCACACACTATTATGAAAAAGTCGGATTTAGAGCAGTGGAGGAGAAAAAATCTATTGAAATCCTACTAAAAGAACAGCCAATTAAACAGGAAAAGCTGATTCAGTTTTGTTTACGTTTTGGTGTTCCTGCAATGTATAGGATCTATGTGTGGAAAATCATCTTAGGTATGAAACATCCCATTTTGTCAATATTGTTGTTTATACCGGTACGCATAATTTCAAAGAACCTAGATACTTAACTGTTTTCATTTCATTTTGCTGTGGTTTATAGCAATTTAGCATACGATTAAGGATCAAGGGTTTCTACATTTAGCTCGTATTTCAGGTATTCTGCCTGTTAATCAGAGCAATCAGGAGTATGTGTGGGATCACAGAGAAGCTCATGTGGAGGATTTAGAGAAAGCTACAATATTACTTGCACCTCATTCAATACATGCTCCCAAGGAGTACAAGATGCTACAAATGAAGCTCATTGATGAAGGACTGCTTCCTGTAGAAGAGGTAAACCAGGATGTCCATTCTTCTTTAATTCAAAATAAATTGGTAGCTCTGGCATTTAAAGGATGACTATACTATTTAGTTTAATAAGTGAAAAATAGCTCCCAATCTAAAGTAGTGCTTTGAATCTCTTGGTAATTTGGTAAAATGCAATCTTAACTATACTTAAACAAGGTATTTCTGTTACTAATGGTTTATAATAACTTATCTATTGTCTGTTTTGGAGGCATATCCTCTGCCTGCTCTCTTGCCTGTAATCTACACATTGGAGTCTGCACATTATGAATGAAAAAAAAATCTTGCAGCTACTGTAAAAAATATTTCACATCAATTCATTAAATTAATATGTATTTTTTTGAAAGCCTGTTGTAATTAATTTCAAGTGTAAAATTTGGAGATGTCACTCCTCACAGACTGATAATTTACAGATTTATAAGTAAACTGAAATATAATGACATAATTTATTAGCTCTTGACCTTTACAAAAGGCTCTAACTTGTTCCACAAATGTCAGCCTTATCATGGTGTATTTTTAAAATTACAAAAACCCCACCTTTTTTCAGGATGTCAATGAGAGGGACAATATCTTTTTGTCCATCGCTGGAGCTGTCAACAGTTTGGTTAGCTCTGACGTTGACCTGTTCTGGATTTCCACAAGGTTTTACAAGCACATCAGCCAAAGTTTCTACTCCTCTATGCAGCAGTTTGTAAGTAGTTTTGTCTTTGGTGATTTCAATTAAAATAAATCTCATTTTATTCCAGCTTTAAAATCAACCTGATAAGATAAGCTTAAGATAGCCTGTGGTAAACAGATATTATTACAAACAATGGTTAAAGTGTAACCCTTTAGTTTTTGTCTCTGTCTTAAGCTGTTTTTGCTGTCAAAAGTGATTTTGGACATAAATTTTCACTTCCTTATATTATATTGTCCTTCTTCAGGTTTTTTCCTACCATTTATATATTTCATATTATAGTAGCCCTGCTGCTTTGTATTAACCATCTCCTTATAATGAGATGAAGTCAGTATTGGTATCATTTACTATAGCACCAGCACAAGTATGATTCATTTACTTTTTTCTTAAACTGTGTCATTCCTTTTTGGGTTTAGGCTGTTGGCAGTTTATTTTCTTCTATCCTTTACCACTATTTCCAGTACACTGCATTTCTTTATCTCGCTTACTTGCAAAATGTTAGTTGTGAGTTTTTTCATTCATGATTTATTTAGTTTATGATTTAAACTTTGGATTCCTGTGTCACTGATTAATGCAATGTTTGTCTTCCTGTAAAAAAAAAACTGACCATATGACACAAACAATTAAATATATTCTTTCTTCCTGTAAATACAGCCAGACTATATGATGCAGTGCTTGAAGAAAGAGGAGCAAGGACTGAGACTCTACCAGCATTTAAATGATCATCATGTTCTTACTGCTCTCCCCTTGATGGAATGGTTTCACACATGCTACGCCAATGTGTTACCAGAAACAGCATTAGAAAGGTAATGTGGACATGCACTGTCTGTCAACTGCTGTATAACAAATAACCTACCCAAGAAATTTCTTAAAAATTTGAACTCATTTCCCACCAAGATTCTCTTTATGATTAATGTTTTGACTGACTGAAATTCTTTGAAAAAAATTATAGGGCCAACAGAAAACTACCAATTGATTTAAAATTATCAGCCAGATAGCCCTGATTTGGTATTAAGGGAACAAAAAAAGGGATAATTGAGATATCATGACACTAGTAGTTGCCAGCAGCTTTGCTTGCTGGGATGTTGAGATCTGTTACAATTGTTGTTTTAAAAGAACCCCAAATCAACACACTCCTCATGCTGTCCTCTTGTATAAAACATTTTAGCTAAGTGTTTATTTTAATTTTTATACTTGCATTAGACTTTGTTTGACTGTTTGCAAAAGAAGGCCCTATGCAGATACATTTGTTGTTTTGTTGCATCCTTTTTTCAGGTTTTCCCCATATCTTCACATATTTCCTTTTTCCTAACCTGATTGCAGTCTCTCTCCCCTTATTATCATGTGTTTCTTGGGTCAAAACTACGGTATAAATAAAATGTAATGTGTGCCAAGTTTAATGTTTTACAGCTATAAGCAATGTGTATTGGAGATGTTAGGTGCACAATATTGGCTACAAAATAAAGATATTTGTTCCATTCATTTTCACTCAGGAATTTTTGTGAGCTGCAATAGAAAAAAACAAAACAATTTCTGGCTTCACCAATGTAGTTGTGCTCATGTTAACTTGTCTTGTATTTGCCACAATTTTGTGACCTAGTTTATGATGTTTCAGAATATGGGACCGTGTTCTAGGAGGATCCAGTGCCATATTAATCTACATAGCTGTAGCTATCTTCCTTGTACTGCGGCGACCACTTTTAGCTCTGCAGTCAACACAAGAGATGGTCAATTACTTAAAGCAGGTAAGTCACATACAAGTAGAATAGGAAATTGGGTCATAGTGCAGAAAATTAAAATGGTGTAAATCATAGAGCAGAATAGTAAATTAGTGAGGGGGTCAATCTGGGCAGAATTGTAAAATTATAAAATAGTGAGGGGGTCAATCATAGAGCAGAATAGTAAAATAGTAAGGGGGTCAATCATAGGGTAGATGTAAATTGAGAGGGGGTCAGTCATGGAGCATAACAGTAAAATAGTGAGGGGGTCAATCATAGGGTAGATGTAAATTGAGAGGGGGTCAGTCATAGAGCATAACACAGGGGTGGCCAGACCTGTAGTAACTGAGAGCCATTTTTAAAATAAAAAAATTTGTTGAGAGCCACATTGAAGCACTATGGGTCACGACCCCACTTTCAATGAAAAATTCCTTTTGTGATTCATTTTTAAAAATTACTTTTTATTCAAATTTAATGATTAAAACATTTTAATTGTTTTAACCCTAACCGTATGTTGAAGAAATATATGCGTTACAGTTACACAATTGAAGAAATATATACGTTACAGTTACACAATTAACAAATATCTAAATATGTAAAATTTATGAATAGAAATAAATTGTTCGCGAGCCGCAATGTGAACACAGAAGAGCTGCATGCAGCTCACGAAAAGCCGCGGTTTGGCCACCGTTGGCATAACAGTAAAATAGTGAGGGGGGGCAATCATAGGGTAGATGTAAATTGAGAGGGGGGTCAGTCATAGAGCAGAACAGTAAATTAGTGAGACAATTGGTCATAAGGAAGAATAGTAAAATAAGGGGGTTTAGTCAAAGGGCAGAACAGATAGGATCTGAGCAGCCATTGTTTTGAGACTAACTAAACCAGGATAATAATATATTACATCTAGGGCTTAACCAGAGGCATTTTTTTTTACCCCGGGTCCGGTATTTTGAGAAAATAACAGGAGGGTCCAAGTGTTACACAAGAAATTTAATTTCTCATTTTATATAATAAATGCTGGCCTTAAAACAATAGACCTACAGACAAGCCTACAATCTACATGCAGGCCGCTAAGCAATAAGCAACAGGCAGTCCTACACCCTACATGCTGGCCCTTCAACAACAGTCTTACACCATACCCACATCTCTTTATTGATTAATGTAATAGTCGCCTCCCCCTAAAGAAAAAACTCAACCTTTTTACTGGAAATCAGACATGGTATATTCTTTAACTTTGAATATCCAATGACTCCATCTTACAATAAAACAATTTTTAGTGTCAACATATGTAAATAAATATGGTTTTGTTTTGTATTTTATTTGACTCTCAGATTCCTGAAGATTGTGGAGACAGAATTGTCAATGAGGCGTTAGACCTGTTGCATAAGAATGCTGGACAGTTTCCCATCAAGCCAGACTCACCAGCCAATGAGAGTGGCAGAAACTCTGCCAAGTCACTGAGTGATGGGGGTCTAAGCAAACCACCGCATGTCAAGTCACGGCAGGGTTCCATCGATGGCAATGCTGACAAATCCCTCAGGAGCATGATAGACAGCAGATCCGTGCTTGCAGATTTCGGGCGCAAGTCTCCTGGTGATAAAAATGTATAACTCCTTTCACCTGACAGTCATGGTGTTTACCAATGAGTTTCAAAATATACTGTCAGTGCCTCTTTAAGTTTTATAGATGCTCTGTTCATTGGGCTTGTCTCAGTTGTCATCAAACCATCTGGTCGAGAAGATGAGATTTAAGCTTTTCTGCCAAGGAATATGATTTTTCCCATATTTTGTACCTGTTTATGGCGATTTCGCAGAGTATTGAACACAATTTTGTACCTGTTTGTTAAAAAAATTACAAAAAACACAAACAGGGATGGAAGTTCATATCTAAGTGGATTACTGAATGGCTTGGAATTATTGAGGCATTGAAATTCAGAACATCTTAAACAACTAAACTGATCTGGGTGTTGCAAAGATGGCAAAAGTGAAATAGTGAAAGTACACTTCACATCTGTAAAAACTGTCAAATGTTTGCTTACCTTCCCTGTCACTGTCAGTTATACCCATTGTCAGAGATCATTTTCTAGATGTAATAAATACACAGCCTCAGCTGCACTCCTACCACATGTATAATAGAGTGTGAAATAAACAGAGGGACTTGTGTGCTATTTGGAAGAGTGCTGATTGAAAGAACTTGGCAATTAAAATATTTATTTTTTTAATATTTATTGCGACTTTTTAGTGTACAGGGTTTTTGGGAGTCTGTGTTCTGGGATTGGATTCTAAAAGGTTGGCATTTATGGATATTAGTCAAAGGTGTACCATGTTCTTATTTTGTTTAATTTCATAAGTGTTTAAGAGCCTTTTTGGACTGTCAGTGCCAAGAAGAGGAGCTCTTTTCATAAACCCTTCACTTTGCAAAAAAGTTATAGCAAATAATCTTATTACTTTACAAATATAAAACTATATTTTTCTTGAAAGGGAATTGAATGAGCTGATACAATCTTCGTGAATCAAATTAAAATCTCAACATTTATGCAAATGAGACTTCCTGATTTGCATAATTTATCCATGCAATTTTTTTGTACATTTAGAATACACATGCCTTGCTTTCAGAATTTTGTTGTCATGATTGCTAGAGCCCAAGTATGTCCCAACAAACATTTGAATGAGAAGCAATGTGAAAAGCTGCATAAAATATTCCACTGGGGGTGCAAATGTCTTTTGGCATATTTCAAGGTCACATATTTGTAAAGCGTTTTTAGGGGTCACTAGGTACACACAAAAATTGCTATAAAATGACAGAACACTGTAAATTATCAAGGGAAAATGCCATTAGAATGGACAGAAATGCAAGAAGCTATATGATTAGCTTGTACAAAGAGCAGGCAGCCAATTTCAAGTATTATTGGGCAGACGGATCAGTCTTCTGTCTCTTTCGACTCTGGGCCAACAGATCATCCAAACCATCTCAAGAGGGTTCATCCTTGAGCTAATCAATATCAGCCCGTTTGAAACAAGTCGCCATAATGAGGATGTGTTACAGACATTTTTTATTCACATGCTCCTCCAGATTTAGTGTTTGCAACAAAATTCTTGTTATAGATTCCTGGAACATTTTCCTTTAGTACTTGAAATAATGATCTATTTGTACTAATTGTAGATATTTTTTTTTAAAAATCGGATGTAAGGGCTAGAATTGGAAAAAGCTAGATCAACATTTGTGCTATTAAATAAAATATGGGAGTCAAAGGAGCTAAAACTGCAAACCAAAGTCAGACTCTTTAACACAAATGTCAAAACAGTCCTACTATATGGAGCAGAAACTTGGAAATCAACAGTGAGCATTACGCAGAAAGTACAGACCTTCATAAACACATGCCTTAGAAAGATCCTGAAGATCAAATGGCCAAATACTATCATCCACAAATAGCTACTAGAAAGAACATACCAGGTGCCCATTGATGAAGATATCATAAAGAGAAGATGGAGGTGGATTGGACATACTCTCCGAAAACCTCCAGATAGCATCACCAGACAATGCTTTAACATGGAATCCACAGGGAAAAAGAAAGAGAGGAAGGCCTAAGAAAACATGGAGACTCGAACTAGAGGCAGACACGGATACACACAGGGATACAACTGGACGCAATTGGAAAGGAAAGCACAGTGGAAAATTCTTGTGGACGGCCCTAGATGGGGTAAAAAGGTATAAGTAAGTAATGCTTGTCCACATTTTAACAAATTATCTATTAATTCATTGGTTTCAATACTTTATTAATTGTCTTCATATCATACTATGTACATTTTGAGCACAGAAATGGTAGCAATTTCAACATTCAGTAGTGTTAAAAAATATTTTTGGTGCCAGTAGCTGCAAACAATATAAAATTTTTGTTTTAAATAATTTCGATTTGTTTAATTTTCAATCGCCTCGTACACTAAAAATATTGAGAGATCAAATTTGATTATTTACATTTAACTTATTGTTTTTTCTTAAAATAATATGATAATAAATGAAATATTCAAATACATGCATAGGCATAGGGATTATTTTAACCCTATAACTGTCAAGTACATTTTTCTGTAGTGTCAAGCTCTTTTTTAGCATGTTCATATGCTCGTCAAAAATGACAAAATCCTATACTCATACTAAATGAATTCAGAGACCCTTACAAGTATATATTTTCTGAACATACATTGGACAAGGTATCTTATGATATGAAAATAATTTTTATATTATGTATGTTGATCTTGTCCTTAACAGAGTAAGTAAAATTTACTATTCAACTTTTGCATTCAACCAAATCATTTAAAACTATTATAAAATCATGTTTTTGAGATGCTATTGAGAAGCAATATTCTTTCAAAAAATGTCAAGTTAAAGGTACTTATATCGAAAATTGTAATACAGGTGAACTTTTTTTCTTTCGGTACATTCAAATTTCTGTCATACAAAATACAACAGGGAAAGCATGAAATGAGTTCAAAAATTCCTTTTCAATTGAAGTCATTCAATCCATTTTGTATTAATTAATACTCCGGAACACGCACAAACATAAATGTCTTTGAAACTATTTAAGGTGTTAGGAATTCAATCTTTGTCTTTTCTGTTTGATTTCCACACTTTTGCCTCTACGAATAAGCTTAAGACTAAAATTGCCAATATCTGATTCTTTTGTCGCCATCACCTCTAATACTTCAATCACTATCACGTGAAATATCTCTAAAATTATTACTTTCATTTTAATCCATTTAACATAGTTCCAATAAAGAGTCTTTTTTGATTTTGCAATCTGGAGGGTGGCCATCTCCAGCATCAGACATAATGGCAATCAAAAAGGATTGAGCAAATTTCACATCCAATTAAGCACAAAAAAAAGCCCTGATCAAAGCATGTTGACATACGGGTACTGATAGAAATGGAAATGAGAAGCAAACTTATTTATATAGAGTGATTTCCCATGAACCAATATACACTCAATCATTCACATTCTTAAAGACCATTTCGCTAGTGGGTGATATCAGCCATGACACCACAGAATGTCCAATCCGTTGTGACAGTTATAGGGCTAAAAAAAATGTTTTTTAGCAGTGGAAGACCAACTTAAGTCACTCATCAATAACAAGCTTGTGATACTGGTTTCATGATTTTACATCAGATGATATACACAGTCTCTGTCCAATATCAAGCAAATTTATGCATCTATTTTCACATAGCCTTTCAGAGATGGATCAAACATAATAAAAATTCATCATCTGGTTGTTCAATTAATTCTTTTTTGTCTCAATAAAAAAATTGCATATGTCATTATATTTTCACATATTGAAACTTTCATGACATACAAAATCTTCACTTAATGCAAACAAGTGTATAAACATCAGATACATATATTACTACAAGGATTTTTTTTGCTTTAATATGACAAACCTGTTTCAATAACAATGATTTTTAAAAAAAGTTCAACTTTTAACGTAAACAATTTTAATTTCAATAAAATAAAAATAGTTGATATACATAATGTATTTGTATTTGAATCTGTTTACTTTTTGCAACAGGTGATACAAATTTGGGGTAACAGTTTCTAACGTATTCTCTTGATGTTTGAAACTTTATGGTTTAGTCTGTGTCTTGATCTCTACACAAAATAAAACTAACTGAATCCAAAGAGATGAGCAATCCATAGTTATACGTTTCCTTAAAATAGTTTAATTTTACTTCTAAAACATTTTTTACTGGAGTCTGTACAACTTTCAAATCCCATTAACTTCAGTTTCCTAAACTGTTTTGCCATAAGATTTTGTTTGTTTGTAAAAAAAAATTATTCTTGTGTCACATACTGACTGCTTCATTTGGAAGGGTTCAAACATATGTAAAATATAATAGCTATTAGAAAATGCTGACCAGAAAGAATAGCACTTTAAGTTCAAGTGCCATTTTGTTACAAATAACATACATTTTAGTATTTCTTAAAATGAGAAAATGAAGAGAGAAAAAACAGGATAGCAAATTAATGTACAAATAATAACAAATTACTAATAATTAAAATTGCATAAATCAAATTTCAAATAACTTGCATTTGATCTAAAAGATTCAGTAAAGTCACAACCAGGCCACCTAAAGACATGCATACACTCATGAGGAAAAAAACCCCAAATTAAATAATACCAAGTGCCACTTCTTAACTATTTTTGTTGTTTAAATTAATGACCTCTAAATAAAAGATTTACAAATAGATTCATGACAGTCTTTATCATTACTTTGCATTTGTTGACTTTTAGAAAGTTTTTGACAGCCTACACCAGGTGAAAGTTTGGAGAATTCTCTGACAGTATTATGAAATCACTCTATTAATACTGTAGAGTTCTCCGCCATGGTCACCTAACTGAACTTTTCAAATTTGAGACTGTAGTGAAGCAGGGGTGATTCTCTGACCATCTCTGATTTCACTTGTCATATGAGGCAAAAGGCAAGGGATACAAGCATTACTGACCTCAGTGCTTTGAGGTGCTGGACTAAGCCCATCCCATGACATAGCGACATATGATTACTGTCCAAAAAGTACCAAGAAGCTCTGGAAAAGACAGCAGAACTGCCAGTACCATAAGTCGTCAGTTAACAATAGAAAATGGCAAACATGAGGAGGACACAGCCCATTGGAAGATGTGCTAGATTTTAAGTATAGGTGTCGCAACACTGGTGAATTTTGTAAAAAAAAAAAAACAACACAAGGTTCAGAAACGCAAACTAGCATCTGAACTCAAAACAGGAAGTTTTGCAGAGAAAATTATTCATAGAATTTTCTGGCCATGGATAATCTCCAACAAAGAACTCAAGCGCTGATCAGGAGTAGAGACAGTATGGAAACTGCACAAGGTACATACCAGCATAGTCATGTTTGTAAGATGCCAAAAACATCTCTTTCCAGGACAGCACTAACATGGACATCAAGTAGAAAATGAAACTGCATAAGATCCAAATAAATCTGACGCAGAAAAACAGATAATCTGACCCCGCAGATATCTTCAACAGAAACAACTGATAGAAGAGAAAGTGACAATTGCCTCAAGCAACAGATTCGCATAAAAAATGTAAGAATTAATCCAAACATTAGTAAAATATTGTTTATGATGGAAAATTAACCCAGCCTGAACTCATGTCATTGTATTATTATAAGTGTGTTGTAATGCCACCAGCAACTTTGAGCTGAAAAGTTTGTCAAACGATTTTAAAACGTCAATGAGACTCAAGTGGATTATTTTTCCCCTCAAACTTACACCAACCTATCATCGCTTGTAAATTTCATCTCATCGATGACAGTTGGTCAACTAATGAAAGTAAATATATTCCTGTCAATCAACACAGAACAAAAAAGCACAGTACAAATTTTTAACTCTCACAGGGACAGAGGTTGGAATACTATGTGGTTTGCAGATAAACATTCTCTTCAATTGTTGTTATGTAGGTCTTACCCTGTTATGTAGGTCTTACCCAGATTGTACAAATATTTACACAAGTTCTACCTTTAATTTAATCAAACATCAACATGAGCAGACTTGATTATAATGGGGATTACATCCTCACTCTCTAATTCTGTACAAAATACAAAGATTAAAATTAGCCACAGTTTTTACAGGGAGCTGCAAATATATAGTGGTTTTTAACATTTCTGTTACTACCTACACTCATATTAAAAAAACAAACATAATTCTTGACCCATAAACTTTTGACACATGAATGATGAACTTTACATTATAACAATATAGGCGGTCACATAGGGCTTCACTCATTTGTTTACACACAGAGATCATTTAGTGGGACACAGTGCACAGACAATGGGACACAGTGCACTGACAGTGGGACACAGTGCACAGACATTGCTACTTTTAGTTGTGCATTACAGGGTACACATAGGATGTTGATCTAAAACTGAAAACAAAACCAGAAGAGCACTGTGCAGTAAGTATCAACACCTTGTACTTGTTGACATTGATTGGGAACAAGATACCAGTGTGTAAATGTAAAGTGATTTACATTGAGGGCATGTTGAGTGCAGCCTTGTAACGGAGATACCAATATGTACACACCTTGATGTACAGTTACGTCATGGAGTAAATAGTATAAATAGACTTCCAATAGTGATATCTTCCTTTCTTTCTTTCAATTAATCAGCCACATAATCCTGGGATTCAAAATGTTCCTGAGTTATTATTGTTTTCAATATGTACAGCGATTATAATGTGTGGAGGTATCCTTGTTTTAAACATGTAAAGCATTTGCATTTGCAGAGCTATGACTGTTTTAAATATGTACATATTTTTATTGGGGATTAAGTGTAAATAAGAATCCTTCAATATTAAATTCACCATGGAAAAACCCGGCACGATATTACAGTTCCGAAAATTTATTTAAAAAATTAAGTAACAGGAGGGGGGAAAAAAACGAGTTCTAAATATTGACCGTTCGTCACACGATAGTCACATTCAATACTCTTTTGAGCCTCCTTGAAACTAACTACAATACATGCCTCTCCTAAAATTTACTGCTGAACTCTGTGAAGCTGTTTTAAAAAGAGACATCCATGTTTTTATCTTCTTTGGTTAAAAAATTATGAGAGTTCAAAGTTTAGTATGACTTTCCAAGATCATTGACCTCAAGTTGCTAATCTTTTGATTGACAAGCAAGTTGATATGATGAAACAATAGAACATACCCATGTAGAATTTATTAAAATTAATGTTTAAAGTTAAACATTGGTAGATAATAATACTAGCTGGGCTACTGTGACCCTGGTGGTGAATTTTTGAAAATGCAACCAGATATAGTAATTAAAAGATAATTCTCTAAATAAACTTATTTTGTACATTTATTCATTTCTTTATTTAATACAAATTTAAATTATAATGACATTGCTTGTTTTATATTTCATTTCTTTTTTTTAAAAATTACATACATTATTTTTAAATTTAAGTAGGTTGGGCAGGAATTACAAAATATTTTTTAATATTTTACTAAATTTACTTCAATAACTATAATATTAAGTAATACAAAATATATTAAAAACATAATGAAGAATTTATTTACCATGTTCAGGCTGGGCCACATTCACCAGTATGACAATTTTAAAATGATTATTACCATTTTAATGTACTTCACCCCGTATTAACTCATTATTTGGTGTATCCTTCTAAATTGTTGTTGCGGCATGACCCCAACCATAGGGGCACTACCTCTCACTTTGGTAACCACTGATGTAGAATATGATATGACTGCAAAACGGAGGCTTACTCCTGGCACCAAAACATCCACTTTATTTTACCTCTGAGGTTAATGCTATACAGAATGGCCCTTGTGCCTGGCACTTTTCCGTGGTGGAGATTCCTCACTGGTGGGTAAAGATGCTGTCCTCTTGACACCCTGTTCACCTGATGCTGTGGACAGGCGTTTAACTAGAACTGGGTCACGGTGAAAGCTGATGGACACTTCATCATCTATGATCTGCTCAGTGTTGCCTGGCGTCAACTGCCGTAGGGTCTGCATGGTATCATTGTCCAGCTCAGGTATGGTGGATAACTGATGATGTAAACATAACATATTGTCAGATAAAGGTGGTCAAGTAATGTGATACAACTATTGGATCCTGAAGAAAAGAAGCACATTTTCTAGGATAATATAAAAGTATATATCAGAAAGTAAGGCATTTTTAAAAACATTCATTCTAGTATAAACCAAGTAACACTACATAATAATCTTGGCAAATGAACAATACATGCAGTGCTTGAATAAAGAAGATAAACACAATGTCTAGAGCTCTTTGCCTTTTGAAATCAAAACTAAAAGGAAATTAAAGTTAAATAACTACTAACATTACTTAGCACCCATCACTTACTGTAGACAATGTATCAGGCTCTCCACTCATGCCCACCAGGGACGGCATGTCGTCTAGGTTAACTGTGGTCAATTCCCGTGTGTAGAATAGGATGTAAGCCTGGGAGGTCAGGACATCACCAAGTGGTACAAGCTGAACTCTGGAGTCATTACAGTGAAGCCAAGATTCTGGTGGATTGAAAGGTGGACAATTCACATGGCAAGGTGGAACCGATATAAATTTACTAAAACTTATAAGTAAAAGAGCAACCCAGAGACAGCCATTGGGCAAAGACAAACAAAGATGGCATATAAGACAGTGAAAGATTACAGAAAAGACAGTCAAAGGCAATGCACAGAGACTCGTTGACTGACCTGCGTAAGTGTTGTAAGTGTAAGCAGTGTAGTGGCCCGACCTGAAGCCCGCTCCGTGGTGGACCACCACTGCATTGAGTTTATATTTAGCCATGGTGGGTGTGGTCTGGCAGAATGGAGAGATGTCAAGCTCCTCATCAAAGACTACATGGGTTCCAATCTTTTCCCTGTGATTTCGGCCACACCACCTGGAGCACAGAGATATGATGCAAAACATACCCGCCTAGTGACACCATTTCCCTTGTATTTTAAACCTGGTTTTCTCAAGTAGTCAAATAGATATCTATGTGACTGGTTATCCTTAATTATCCCATTTATATGTCATGCATACCTACTTTTTCCCTTTGTTGTCCCATTTAAATATCCCTTATATCTGGTTTTGGCCCTCATCCCATATATTTGTCCTGTATTTCTGGTTTTAGCGTAGTTATTTAAAACATGACAGGAGGAACTGGCAAAATGGCAACACAATATTGCACCTATATTACAGTGTAAAGTTAACACAGAGAACTGTTGATTTGGTTTCAAAAACCGATCAATTCATCTCAAGAGAGAGGGGGAAAAAACTGACTGAAAGTACCAATTAACCAATTAAGACTTTGGTAGAACTAAATTTAAAGACAAATAATGCCATATTCATTTCGGTGTCTTTCACCTCACTGTTTTAACACACAAATAATTATACAAATTTAAAGTGTCTTTACCTAAACCGCTTCAGATGCAATCTGAGAATTTCTGGAGATCTGCTGATCAACAGCTGCTTCTTGGCATTTGTCCTGATCTCAGGCTGTCTGCTTGTTCTCCTGCGTCTGCCTGAAATTTCCAAATTTGGCTTGGCATTAAAACACACAGCAACACCATCCAACAAAAACATGTCTTGTTGCATTAGGCACCAACAATTTTTATCCAATACAAAAACTTCCCACATCTCACATATATAATGGTACATTTTTATTCAATGAAAAATATGAATGATTGATACAATTAGATAAATCCAGCGAAAATATGTATTTTTAAAAATTAATTGGGAAACATACCAAAGTGATAATACTAATACCTCATATGAGCAGTTAACAAACAGCTATCCTCATAAAATAAAGACATATAAGCTGTTGTTAGGCGTAAGTTGATAACCACACACACAGATTGTACTAAAGTGTGGGGGAGGGGGAGGGGGGGGGGACGACGACTTTATTTTTGAAACAAAATGTACATTATATATATTTATATACATACATATATCATACAACAGGATTTACTAATTTGATATAAGATATGAGAAATACCATTGCATTTTTCACATATGTATGATAAAGGTTCCAGTTCCTCTACATCAGTGAATGTTGACAGCATTTCTAAGGAAAGAAAAGACAAAAACATTTACCATTGCCTTTGTTATACTTAAATAATTTCTCTACAGAAAAGTCAAATTTGTAAAGGAATTAGAGTACAATATTGTTAGCAAGACACTTGTTTATATAAGTAGCACTATTTTTAGTATGGCCTTTTATAAACATTACTTTGATCAAAAAAGCAGTGGGTCATGTGTTAAATAGACATTGCTACATCACAGACTCTACAATTCAAGTCTTCTTACTGACTCAATGACATGTTACATTGTTAATGAAATAGTGTCCCACTTTACCTGTGACGTGGCACATGTTGCGCTTGACCTGGCTGCTGGTGTACTGGAAACACCTGGGGAATTCCAGGGACAGGTCAAGGAAAGGTTCATGTCTAGATGAGATATTACTGCAAGCCATGCATGTAACCTGGGAAGTGGGCAAAGTCAACATTAGATAGACATGGTAGGGCATGGTAACAAGTCTGAATCACTTAAGAGAAGCAGACATAGGAAGAAGTTTCAATCACAGTCCTAGCTGGCCAACAGGTGCAGAGTGGGCAAAAGCAAAAAAAAAAAAGATTTATTGAAGACATTACAAATAAATTACAAGGTGTCCAGCTGTAGACAGATAAGTGACAGAATTTGTTTACAAATACTTTGATCATTGACTAGTTACATTACATTTGCTCAAGACAGAAGTAGAATTAGACAAACTATTGATGATGAGAAGCTGCAAAGTATAAAACTACAGATGCTATATAGGACTTTGTCTTATGTTTAAGATATATTTTATATATGAAATAACATGTTTTATAAAAGCTGATATAAAGAAGCCCATATATTTTATAAAGAAACCATACAACCTGATATGTTTTTTGGCCAAAATTTGACCTGCCAGATGCAGGGCTTGACATACTGACCTGGCTAATGATCTCCCCCCTAAAGCTCTGGTCAACAATGTTCTCTGTTCCTTTACACTGAGGCAGGTTTTCAATTTCCTGGGACACTTTATCCAAGAGTTCACTTGGGACGTTAGAGAGATAAAACATTATTTAAACTTCACTTCTTTTCATTCTTCATAGTACTGGCACACAGCGGAGAATCAAAATACACAATTCTCTATGTTCCAATGTCACTAACGCTACCACTAAATTTCACTAAAATTTCTCAATAACTGCCCTAGATGAAATTCTTAAAACAATTTCTTTTGTATACAAATACTAGTATCAATTTAAATATGGTGTTATTAATATAGTTCAGGGGCATGGAAAAAGTATATGCAGTTGCGAACGGTGGTGGTGCGGTTAGGGGGGGGGGGGTCAACTAATTTGGATTCTTATAAAGTGTTTTACTTGAATCCATTGCTTTTTAAGTAAATTTAGTAGATGGGAAGTTAAAGCACTGCCATTGCTATTGTTTGGCTGGCTATAGGTATTGGTGTAATAAATCTGTGATGTAAAAAAGGAGTGGGAAATTAGAACATTATTATAGTTCAAGGGCCAGGGCGTACCGGGGTGGGGATATCACTATCAAAGTGCATTACTTGAATTCATGTTTTGCCAAGTAACTTTGTGCACACCATTGTTTGGCGGGCTATTGCTAGTTATACAGAATTATAAACAAGGTCATAACAAGATGAAAGAATAAAAGAACAGGTAATTGAAATTATTTCATCATAAAGTATGAAAGATAAGGCCAAATTTATTAATGACTGATTCATTTATAACTATCAGCCAGACAGCTAGAAAAACACCATGCCTAAATCCAGATTACCATTATAACACCATGCTTTGATGCTACCATAAAAACAAAGAACTGAATTGAATTACCATAAAAATTCCTGGGCATCATGCTGAAGGTGACCTTTGAATACAGGGATGTACTTCCATATGGCGTGGAGGAATCCATGGGGGCTGACCTGTGCCCACTTCCCCGACCACAAGACTCGGAGCAAGCCATGCATTTCCTGACACAGAGACCTGCAACAAATGAACACATTATGTTATTGTGATGAGGAGGGCACACATGACAAATAGCCAAATGGAGAAATTGTGTTATTGTGATGAGGATAGCACACATTACAAATAGTCAACTTTGGCAATGGCATTCATAACTCAGAGATTTTAGTGTAAATTTTCAAAGAAAATATTTTAAAATTATTTAGGATGTTCCATTTTTTTCGCTCGTCTATTATTTATCAATTTACTTCTTAGAACTAATTTTAAGAAACAAAATTAAGAATGAAAGCTAGCACATGCCCTCAAAAAATCTGCCATTACATCAGACATACTTAGGTATCATCCATTCTGGTACTCACAAGGTTTTCAGTGTATCTGCCTTGGCCTTGATGACAGGATCTGAACTCATTTCTTCCATTCCCTCCGTGTTTTCCCCACTCCCCCCACCATTTAAACCGCCGCTTGGCTTCACAGGTTTTATTGTCGGTACAGGTGGAATGGTGGGATGGGTGAATAGCTCCGAGGATGGCTGGTAGTTCAAATGCTAGCAAGAGCAAATCAACAGGAAAAAAAAAAGATGGGTTTGATAACTTGAAAGGTGAACAAATGTGATGAAATGGCTCAGGTTAGGTACACAGTCCACAAAATGAAGAATGCCTTGACAAGAGACCATAATAAACAGACCATTAAATGATGATCCCTTAAAGTCTGTGCTAAGCAAGATCTAGTTTCTGTGCCACACTTTAATGCCACACCTACCTGGAAGTAATCAATTGTGTTGAGTCTGAGGAGATTTCTGGCTGCCAGAGGTGAAAGGTTCGAAGGGGATGAACCAGGGAGCGGGGTGCCACTTGGGGAAAACAGACCAAATACCAGCTGGCAAAAATATTCCCTGAAGTCCTCCAGGTGCCTGCACAAAGAAAAGAATTGCATCTGTATTAGATGCTGGCAACATGGCTGTCAAAAAGAATGGCATCTGTATTAGAGGCTGGCAACATGGCTGTCAAAAAGAAAGGCATCTGTATTAGAGGCTGGCAACATGGCTGTCATCCTTAAATGTACATCTGCATGTTTAGAACCAAACCTGCAACCTGTAAACTCTACGATAGACATTTGCTATTCCAAGCCCACCGCTACCGAGGTCAGCATCAGTTGAATTTGTCTTCCCTTGTATGGTTTGTTGTGTGAGCCAATCAACAGCCAGTGAGATATGAATCAAAGAAAGAATATAAACCCATAAACCATTTTGTAATTATTGACAAAAGTGTGAGTACTATAAAAATCTGTTCACCACTGCAGTTGTTTTGCTAGGAAAATTGAAGTGGCAAGGACAAAGACAGAGATATCCAAACTGATCTGAATATCAGCAAGTCTTACCCCAGAGATTGTAGAATGGAATTGATGTAGCATGTGTTGCCAAGGTTACGGAGCCCTGTCACACCTGGAATGATGGTTCTCCTCTTCATGTGGAACAAGCTTGCCCTTGACCTTGTGAGCATCATGGGTTGACCTGAGGTGGATGTGGTGGCTGGGGCTTGCTAGAGACATCAATAGAGAATTAGTTGGGTCACTTGTACACTTATGCCATTTACATTCAAAGAATTAGTTGGGTCACTTGTACACTTATGCCATTTACATTCAAAGAATGAGTTGGGTCACTTGTACACTTATACCATTTACATTCAAAGAATGAGTTGGGTCACTTGAACACTTATACCATTTACATTCAAAGAATTAGTTAGATCACTTGTACACTTATGCCATTTACATTCAAAGAATTAGTTGGGTCACTTGAACACTTATACCATTTACATTCAAAGAAATAGTTAGATCACTTGTACACTTATGCCATTTACATTCAAAGAATTAGTTGGGTCACTTGTACACTTATACTATTTACATTAAGAGAATTAGCGCACTTGTACACTTATACAATTTACATTCAAAGAATTAATGGGTCACTTGTACACTTATACAATTTACATTCAAAGAAATAATGGGTCACTTGTACCATTTACTTTCATTGAATTCATTGGGTCACTTGTACACATATACAATTTACATTCACAGACTTTTATGTAGCATTCCTGGAGATATAAACTTTTAAAGTAGCAAGAAAACTGATAGCTGTATTAGAGATATTAGAGACAATGAGCATGTACCGAAGAAATCATATACAAGTGTTACCTTTTTCTCTTTTTCTGTCTGTATACATGTTTGCCAGGCTGAGAAAATCTTGGCAAGCAGGGTCTTCCTAGAGAAACAAATCAACCATACAACACATACATTTTAAAACTTATCTTGGAAGGTCAATATGAATTAAAAATATTTTCTTTTTAAATCTGGGTTTCTCAACCTGGGGTTGGCAGTGATTATGAGAACCGAGAGGAGCCACTGACTTTTGATGGAACTGTTTCTATTGCTTTTGTTTGTTTTCATCAACATTTTACTTTATGTCATAGGGCACACATTTATATTCCCAGCCAAGTGTTGTCTAGTGTTGTACAATTTAAAACAAAATAGAAGTTTTTTTGCTTTTTTCAATTTTAAAATGCATTTAGGAGTGCTAGACTTAGTGAAGCAATTCTTAGCAAGTGCTAGACTTAGTGAAGCAGTTCATAGGGAGTGCTAGACTTAGTGAAGCAATTCATAGGGAGTGCTAGACTTAGTGAAACAGTTCATAGGGATTGCTAGACTTAGTGAATCAATTCATAGGGAGTGCTAGACTTAGTGAATCAGTTCATAGGGATTGCTAGACTTAGTGAAGCAATTCACAGGGATTGCTAGACTTAGTGAAGCCATTCACAGGAAGTGCTAGACTTAATGAAGCCATTCACAGGGAGTGCTAGACTTAGTGAAGCCATTTACAGGGCGTGCTAGACTTAGTCAAACTATTTGTGCAAAAAATATAACAATCTGATTTTTTAATAGAGGTTTTTTGTTTTTTTTAATTATTAAAGTTTCTTTTAATACTCTTTGTTTATTTATTCAAGTATTTGATCAATCATTGCTAAATTATATACATATAAAAATAATGTATAATGGCGCTGGATAGAATATGCACTGTATAGAATGTTTACAGAATAGACCTAATGTTTACTGTATAAAATCACTACCTGTGGTGGCAAACAGCAGTCACTAGCCTGTCATCATCATCAGCTTGGGTCCTGAAACATTTATTTTTACATGATTTCATTTATATTTAGACTGTGGCATCATATTACAGACAAATGAGCAAACTCACCAGTGACATGGAGAAGCTACTCATTACTTATCAGACTCAATGAAAATACTTTTCCCACCTCAGATGATAAAGACAGATGTTTATATAAATGTTTGTGTCAGTAATTTATAAATAAAAGAACTGTGTGGAACAATGTCAATGGGTCACCCCACTGTGCAGTAAACATTATGAAAGCTATGATTAAAATAAAACAACATTCTTTTTAGAATAGTACTACATGATAGATGAGATGGTACTACATAACAGATAGGATAGTAGTACATATAGGATAACATAGTACCACATAACAGATAAGACAGCAATGCATAACAGAGAGCATACTGTTATATTCACCTGGAGAACTCTTGCTGGTCTGAATAAGATTTTAGCAGTTTCCCTCCTTTGTCATGGACTTCTTCTGGGGACATTGTCCCAATGTCTGTCAGAGCCGACCTGATGGCTGCAATGTCTCCTTGTTCATTGTCACCAATAATGTATTCATCACAAATGTAACTGGTCAAGAGCAAGCAATGACAATTTGGGATTATTTCTATCAATTTTCAACGGCAAGAGTAACCTACAGAGAGTCAATGAAAGGAGCATGATACAAATTAATAGCTAACAGATCCTGCAAGAGTTTCTTTTCTTTGATGAAATGTAAATTAAAATAATTGATATTTTCATGTTTTCTTGTTAGAGTGGGCCTCGGAATCCGAATGACTTAGAGAGAACAACTTGGCATTGCTGGGTGGCCGAGCGGTCTAAACTGTCTCAAACCAAATAGCTGGTGGTCTGGAGTTCCATCCCCACCAAAGCCAACATCCCAAGCACCCCGGCTTGATGGGACTCCCTAGCCTTGGACGGCAACTCATCTAAGAGAAGGCAAACTCAGAATTCAAACCAGGAGCTAGAATGATCAAAACAGTGGTCATGGGCCCTCAAGTAAAAGAAGAAGAATGAAAATTTCAAGCAAATTTCACACTAAATCTGAACACTGCTTTGGAATCCAAATGCCCAGGATGTTAGCTGTGTATTTTTTTTTGTTGCTTACATTTCACTAGCTTTCCGGCCATGCATATGCTTTTTCATTCAGCATGTTATCTATGTAAGCTATAGTGAGATTATCTCAGATGTTTTTGGTTGGTAATTTTATGTTATTGTTCCCATTTTGTGTTCTTTAAAAAAAAATAAGAACAATTTAGAGTAATCATGGGTCCTTAGAAGTGGAGTGAGGAAAGTAAGAGGGCAGCTGTTATAACTACAATGGAAGTTACAAGAGATCTTATCGCTAAGCAGGAAATCAGTGTATGTGTGGCTGATCATGCTATGTTCAGGATGCCCTAATCAACTGTACGAGTTTGAAAAATATAGAAGCTGTGAAAGGGGTTAAGACAATGACCTCTACTCTCTGTGACTGAAAAGTATGGAGGAGGTGGAAAAACTGCTCTTATTTTGGATTAATAAAAAACTATCTGAATGTGATTTCTGAGACCATACATTTGCAAGAAAGCCAAGGTCCTCCATGATGCTTCAGTGAAAGGCATGCCTGATTCTAGGGCTCATAAGTAGGAGTTTAAAGCCAGTATGGGGTGGTTTGAGAACTTCAGGAAAAGTACTAGAATCAATAGAATTTGTGGAACTGGGAAACGGATTAATCTAGTTTCTATTATTTTAAATGGAAAAAAATTGCCTCAGAACTCTTATGATTTGGAACTGGAAAGGGTTCTGAAACAGATTAAGAATGGACCGCAGTGCCCCACAGTATTTCAAGTCATTGTATGACATTATTTCTAAATGCTGAATGTTGAATATTTAAGTCACAGGCAACACTCACCAGTAAACATATTTTTCATTTATTTCAATGGCAAGTGGATGCTGAAATAAAAGAATTTACGATAAATATTTTTAAAAAACTTATTTTTATAATATGGACAAAAAATTTAATGTGGCTGTTACATTTTAATACATATGCTTGTGAACATCTATGTACTATACTAATTTATTTTTAAGCATGTCTATTATTTCTGTTAGGGAAAATAAACTAAAAATATCTTCTTAGAATAATGTAGTTAAATTAATTCATGAAAATAGTTCCCTTTAAGGGGCCACCTATAAATGACAAGATGTATCTAAGGTGGAGGGTGGAAAAGGGGGGGGGGGATTATGTTGATTGATGAAGGTGTTTCAATTTTGTGACAAATTTGTGACAATGGGGGTGGGGGGGTTAAAAAATTGGCCAAAATAGTTTGATATTATTGATGGATGGCCCCTTATTACAGTTTTAGCTCAATGTTTTAAGTGAATGCATGCAAGACTTAATGGCACTACAATTCCAACAAGTAAAAACTAAGTCATATCATAAAGTTAAGCTAATAAAAGGCTGATTTAATGCCTAGCTTTAATACACGTACAGCATTCAAATGATCAAATGAATGCATTAAATTGCATACTACCTGTGTAGATTCGAAGTGCTTAGCTGCATGTTGTTCATTCATTCGACCACAGGCAATATTGGAACAACTGAGGCACGCCTGAACAAAAAATATGAACAATTTTTATTTTCCATTTAATGTGAATATCATGGTTTTTTTATTGCCCTGTTTGTATAAACACATACACATGTATAAAATGTGTGATCGGATCTGTGTGTATGTCAACTGACTTATCTAACATCTTATAATATTGATGCGTAAGTGGATAACATGATATCCTGATTCATTTATTGAATGATAGTGGAGAATGGGGATGATGTAAGAAACTGTCATAAATAAATGTTGAGGATCATCTTGTAACAAAACGTATTTACCTTAATTTTTACAAGAGAAATATTTTGTGTGTCCCGAAAAACACCTTAATTTTGATTTTCATCATTTTTTGCACACAGATTAAAAAAATAAAATAAAGGGGGAGTAATATTGCTTCCCATTTTAATAAATTTATTTTTACGGCCTGTATGTATGCCTAATTTAAGAACTTGTGTGCCCTTTGTTTTGTTTTGATATTGACATAACCATCAAATGTGTAGCGCTGTCACTCCTTTTTACACGCCCCTCCCTTGAATGGGAAAAGGTTGTTTACATTCAAATTTTTTCTAAAGAATGGTATCAGGTTACACAATTTCTAGAATTTCTTTACCAGAGGGTTCTGATTTCCAGAGGGTGCTGAAAGCCAGCAGCTTTCCTAGCCAAGAGAGATTTTTGCAAATTTCCTTAGACATATATGAGTCATTATATAATTGCAAGAATGAATTCTTAATGTGTGTATGTGTAAATTAATATGTGTATTTTTTGAGGATTGTTCCTTTTCAGTTGCTGTGCTGTAAGTTGATCTAGTTTTTTGTTTCTGTGCATTTGAATTTGTATTTTCATAGAAATTTTATAGGATAATAAAAATGAATATGTTTAGTATCATATTTATGTGTATACTGGTTGTCAGTCCTTTGTTACGTATTGTTCATTCTAAGAGCCAAATTAGCAGATTAAATTTTCAAAACCATTTAACAGTATGTAACACTATAAATAGAATAAATAAACTCCCCTACCCAAACCCATTCTGTTGTTCCACAAACGGAACACTGCCAGCATTTGGGGTCTAGGATAGAGTCATCAGTAGACACAACCAGACTGTCTATGTGTGGACACTTCTCCATGGCTGTTCCGCCTCTATGTTTTAGTAGAGTGATCTATATGGTGGTATATTCATTTAGTTGCATTCTTGCTCTAAGTAAAAACCTGAAAGATAAAAAAATTAACAAAATTTTTGTGGGAAAACTTGAAAAAGCAAATTAAATAATCCACTTCATCTTCAGTTTAGTAGTATGGAACACTATCCATCAAATAAATGTTTTTATTTGAATAAAAAGTATAAATATTTCTACTGCTACCAAAGTAAGAAATGAGCAAAACAAAGTGAGGGAACACTCAGAAAAAAAGGAATCAACTAAACAACATAAATGTCGACATGATGCCGTCTTCAGCGAACAAACAATGAGAAAAAGAATATTTAAAAAAAAAACAAAAATACTTAGCTGCAATGTAGTATTTTGACTTTTTTACACTCGGGAGTTCGCGCTGAGCAGCATTTGTCAAATTTAATCAAACGTATTTGTCTCCCATCTCATAAATTTAAATACATTGATTTTAGGGTGCACAATAATAATGCTTATGTTTTTTGATAATCATATTGTTATTTGTTTTTTAAAGAGTATTTATAATAACAATTATTGATTATTTATAACTTTTAAATTTTTGGGATTTTGACACATTCGTTAAAAAAAAACAACACATCAAACTTTGATTCAAGGCAATCAAGGACAAGAAAGTAGATAGATCAACAAAAATAACAGAAGACTAAATGCTTGATTATAAGAGCTCTCTAACTCTAACTCTTAATCCTATGTTGGTCAGTTGTGTCATTTGTTACAGTAATCTGGTATTGTAACAACAAATTTTTTTATAGGCCTAACATTTCTTTTTTTAAATTTTATCTACAATTACAACAATTCAACAATCACAATGGAACTGGGGCAGCATTTGCTATTATCAGCATTGTGTAGGCCTTCCATAAATTATGCAAATTAAATTTAAATAGCCTTAGCCTTAAGCCTGAACTAAAACAAATTATTAGGCTATTATTAAGTTTAAGTTTATGTTATAAATATTAGAATTAGAGAAATATGCCATACCCTCCTACTGCCTCCCCCAAAAAGCCTAAAGATTTCACCAGTTAAAACTAGGATTATTTTTTTAGGACTAGATTAGACATTAGATGTACAAAAAAACAACAAATATGACCTATCCACATTCGAGGCAATAAATACTTCGGCCTAGAGATTGCAAAAAAGCGACTTTGTATAGTTCTTTTTGTTGTTGTTTTTTGGTTGTTGTTTTTTTTTTTTTTGGTAACTTCTTTTTCCTATCCTTTTTTTTTTCCTCCTCCAGCCACAGCTCTCGATAGAAAAAGTTGAAGAGCTTCTGCTTCTTTTTGTTCTTTCTCTAATAATTAAACAAACATATTATACTTCGCAATTACAAAATTGAATTTAAATACAAAAATCTGATGAATCTACATCAAATTTATTGCTTCATTTATTTAGCAAAAATGAGCTTAAGAATTTAAAAGACGGACATACCCTTTCTTTTAGTTGTTTTAACAGAAATTATTAAACTACCACCATTGACTGATCTTTTCAGTGAACGGGAAAGTAGCATCCCCTTACAAGAAGTCTTCAGTGATTCGCCAAAAGTAATAATAGCATTCAACTGCTATATTAGTTACCATTAATGTTTGATTGCACACATCCCAATTAGCAAATGTGCACAGTTGCTGGCGCTAAAAATTTTAATTGCATCCAAAACTAATTCAAAATAAATAAACATTATTTTTAGTATTAACATAAGATAATGTCACAAGGCTAATTATTATAATTTTAAATAAAAAAATATTTCATTTAATTGATATATATAGATTAATATGAACAAAGTTTAAGCAGTGACGCAACTTCACACTCATTCTTGTCCAAACATACTTACTAATCCATTTTTTTTTTTAAATATTGCTTTCAATGTCAAATATCATTGACTTCACTCATATAATGAGTTTGTTTATTCGAAGATTTGAGGCATTGATCTGAAGCCATAGCTGAGATTTGTTGCAAATATATGAAAGGGAATAAAAGGTTTTTGCATAATAATAAATATTATGCCTACCGGTCTGGGTATTTTGAGATGATACCTGGTGGGTCAGGGTGTTAAAAATAAAAAGAGTTATATTTTCATTTAGGCCTACTATAATATTGTGTTCCGCACAATGTGGAGAAGTGAAAAGTGCATGTATAGAGCCAGTAGCGACCACGAAGGCATCAACGATGAATGATTAAAAAGACTATAAGCTTCATAATATAATCCTAACCCAGCAATTTAGTGTCGTGACCCCTTTATAACTTTTGCCAAGTTGCGGTGAACGACAACCAGAATTATACCTTGGTTGTAGCAACGATGTTGTCTATCAGAATTGAGGAATAAGTGTTAAGAGAGCGAGGGGTAGCGCTCTTTGTAGATAAAAATGTGTTGGCACTTTAATTTAGATCTGTGATTCTCAAAGTGGGCGATACCACACCTTGAGGGCACTGGAATGATCCAGGGGGCGATAGTAGCCTGGGGTGCATTTGGTGCCTTGAATAAAAATAAGACGTCGGTGAAAGCATAAAGAAGGAAGAGAAGATGGAAGACTTCGAAAAACTGTTCGTACATATTTCATCCGCCTATGACCTGTGATGCACCCTCCTTGCCCTACCTAATTTTCTGTTTCGGTTTAATCCAGAAGTGTCAAAGTGTCCTCTTTTTATAGCCATTTTCATTGTTTCTATAGAATAGTAGTTACTATCCTAGTGTCTCATTTGTATTTACTTAGTTTACTTGTTTTAATAATTGTAAAGCGCTTAGAGCTTTATGATAAGCGCTATATAAAAATGCCTAAATAAATAAATAAATAAATA